CGCTTGGGAACACCTGGTACTGTAAGCCCCCAAAGTCCAACCCTTACCTCACAGTCGGTGGGGGGGGGTGTAAACGGTAGTGTCAGAGCTATGCTGCCCGGAACTTCGTTCCTGGTAGGGCCACCCAAGGCGGACAGGTCTGACACACACGCCGGCTAACAAGGGCTCTGGTGAAAATCCAAGGAGCGTCTGCATCGGTAACCGGCGGCTTCTGGTCGTTCCTGTCTCTGCGTCTGTGGGAACCCCGCGGCAAGCAAGAACGTTATCCGAGTAGGCCTGGGTACCCTACTTCTGTAATTTATCCCAAGAATCTTCTTCTCATAACAGGAAGAAGCCGGCTCAATCCGCCCAGGGTGAATGCCGTATCAATACAGTAGTGTACACTCTTAGATGGGAGAAACTATATTAAAATCTTTTCATCCCATGCAAGGTAGGAAAGCCACTAAGACAATCTAAAAGAATAAGAAAAAAAAAGAAAAAAAGAAAAGAGAAACATTATTTAGGCGCGGAAACAATAGAATAGAGTTACGAAGACGACATTTTTATATACCAAAACAATTTCCCTCTGTCTTTTCTACAAATACTTTCGCGTTAACTGCTCCGATGAGCTACTTTCGCTGGTTCCCAAACTGCCTGAATTTAAACGTGCTACTAGTCTGGCATCTCAGTCCCACCCTTTCACTATCGGAATGGTTAAATTTAACCGTCTCTTCTACTCCAATAGCTTCATGTCTCGCACTTTCCGTCAGTGGAACTCCCTTCTACTTAATTGCTTCCCTGATAGCTATAATCTTCAAATATTCAAATGCAATGGCAATCGACATCTACAGATGCCTTGATCTAATTCCTCGTCCTTCTGTTTATCCTTTCCTCTATCTCGCCTCTTTACTCTTGCTCCCATTCTCTGTTAACCCCTTGCGTGCTAGTGGTACTCCCACCTTGCTTGGGGTGAAATGCTTTAAAAAAATATTAGAAAAATTAGTGACAAACTGAAAAAAAGTTTTTGCGTGACACGTTTAGGGTTTCATAGAGCTAAAGTGATGTTTACGTTCATGTAACTGCACATGCGCAAAAATAGGTAAGTGGACGCTGAAATGTTAATTTTTTGTTTTACATTAATTTAAAAACAAATAAGTGTTTCGTTCTATAGTCTAGTCTATTTCATTTATTTTCTTTTTGTTTGTTTTTATCACTTTTGTCATTAAGTATCCGACATTGTGATCATAGATCTGCCAAGAAAGGTAAAATATGGAAGGGAAAGAAGCGGTTGAAAATTTCCTGTGGATGTTTTAGAAATTAATGCACTTTTCATACATTTTCCTTTTAGGAAATTGCTTTCTCTTTTAATTGAAATAGTATTTTTAAAACTTAATTATGGTCAGACTTATTACAAAGTACTGAATCTTTTGTTTTGTAAAACATTCCTTTTGTGTTCGTATATGGTTTTATTTAAATTTCTAGAGGTTTCTCCTATGTATACTTTGCGGCAATTATTACAGGTGATAGAGTAAATTCCTCCTTCAGGTTTTAGTTTTTTCAGGCTTAGTTTTTATTTTGTTTTGTATCAATGTTTTATTGTTTTAGAAGTATTTGTAATAAATTTTATGGAAAGCTTAAATAAATTCACCAAAATTTAAAAATTGTGATAAATTCTGATTTGTTGCCTTTGAAGAATGCTAACGACTCGTCTATTTTGAAACAAAAAAAAAGCTTTTATTGTTAAAAAATTTGAATATGAAATAATTCGTTTAGTTGAAGGATTTTTCAAATATATTTCTTTTCTTCACTAAGAGCTACAAATTCTGTGTGCTCTTAAATAGAGTCTGATAATTATTCCGTATTTTACTGTTAGGATGAGAATAAAAATGTATGAGTTGATTTTCCGCCATTGATTTGCGATGGACCCTTAGGTTTAGGCTATTGTATGTCCAGTGTATTATAACATCTAGGAAATATAAAATGTTGTTTGTTTCTGTTTCGTAAGTGAATTCTATCGTATGTTCGACTTTGTTTAGTTAATTTACAATGTCAAGTAAGACAGTTATTATTATCTCCCCGTAAAACCAGACTATGTAGATCTTGAGTGGCAACAATGTATCGGAAATATGTTGATTTTTTTAGGTAAAATATTTTCTTTGGAAAAGAGCAGATTCAAGAAATTATAAGCAAATAGACGCTAAAACCCAATTCAGAGGCGAAGACATTGGTAATCCAAGTGTTTATTTATATATAAAAAAAGTATTTTTAAAGGTGAAATAATATTGATTGGTGATGAGTGAACAGATTTTTACGATTTTGGTTATTTCTAGAGATAAGTTTGTTAACAAGAACGCTGGTCTAAAGGGATTTAACATCTAAATTAGGCATGAGTTTATCTCTTACATTTATTCATTTTTTTTTTTTTTTCAACCAGTTTGCCTGAATTTTTAACATGTGATTTGCTGATTATTCTAGGGAGATTGGTTAAATTTTTCATTATGGCCAGTGAGCACTACCAATGCCTGACATAATCGGGCGGACATGAGTTCCTGCTTTAGGAGTTTTAGAAAGACAATAAAGTTTGAGTATTCTCGGATGATATTCTATTAGTTTATATGCTAATTCGTTTTCGTTACTAACTAATTTTCTAATCGCTCTGTTAATTTTCTGCGTTACTTTCATTTTGTGTTCATCTATTTTCTCATATGTGTTTGATATCGTTCAACAGTAAATTCATTTTATCGTTGTATGTTTTTCTAATCATAATAAAAATTCCTCCTCCTTTGTGTAAGGAGGTGATGTTATTTTTTGCTAGGGTTCTTAGTGCATTTAAGTGTCTCTGAGTTCTTTCTTTTTTCGCTTTTAGAGTGGCAGTAGTTATTCCTTGAATGAAGGCTGATAAATTCTGTGTTGTTTTGTCTATAATTTTTAACCATTATATCAACTAGGTAAACTTTATGAATGTCGGTGACGAATTTAAAACCAAAGCTAAGGGCTTTCTGTTCGGTATTGGATAACATTATATACGATAGATTTTCTATTAGGTGTGATTGTCCAATGTATTTACATTTGCCATTGGTATGTAGCGGGTTGATTTTAACTTCTAATTTGATGATTTAATTCTTGCTTATATATACTTTTTATCGTCTGTTGTAAATAAGCCATTTCTGATTTTGATATGACCTTCTTCTTGTGGAGTTCGAGTTTAGCATTTTTAACTTTTTTAAAAGTGACCTTCCTTATTTCTTCTACTTTTTCAGTAGAAGACTTTAAAATCACACTTAAGAGTTGACAAAATCTGGTGGGATTTTCATATCTTATGTGTGATGATTTTTTTCCTTCTTTTATCACAATGCGGGGTACTTGATGACGAAAAGGATAAAAACACAAACAAAAAGAAACTAAATAAAACTGATTAGACTATATACCCAGACACATATTCAAAAAGATTAACATAAAAGTTTAAAATTTCAGTCTCCTCCTCTTCGTGCGCATGCGTTTGTTACATCAACATATAAATCACTTTAGTCCGATGAAGTTCTAAAAGACGAAACGATTTTTTCGACTTTATCAGTAATTATTCTAACACATATATATCTATATATATCTATCTATATATATATATATATATATATATATATATATATATATATACTCTATCCTTGATAGTGATCATTTTTACCTGTAAATATACCCATCTTAAAACTATATATTTAATCAGAGACCAGGAAAACACTAGTGTTTTTGAGTTCATGTTTTTGAGGATGAAAAAAGTATGTATACTTCATTTAACAACCCCCACCGATACATTTCCATTAATCTTGCTTTTCTCCTCCTTCTCCTCCCCCAATCCCCTTCTACCACACTTCAAATCGTGCGCTTTATTTTTAAATAATATAGCATTCATTATTCTTTTTTTTTTTTAATAAATCGTTAAGAAATCAATTGACCGAAATCGCCTGAAGATACCAAAATGTTGAAACCAAGGTAGCGGAATCGGCAGATCTCTTAATTATATATATATATATATATATATCCAAGCTATGTGTAAATAGCAGGATAGACTAGGTTCTATAGCCTTGGATGGCAATTGGTTTAAGAGAAGGACAATTCCGAATTCAAAACATGCGGAGGGTCGTTTGGGGAGAAAACGTAGTGCACCAGGTCTCTGTATTCGGCCCTTCAAAAAGTGTGGTTGGTTCAAAATGAAGCCTCCACCACTATAATCAAATCATATGTGCAGATGTCAGGTTATCGGTTCCTATATATATATATATATGGATATATATATATATATATATATATATATATATATATATATATATATAGTCATCATAGCTCATCAGTGTGACTAGACATTTTCGATTGCCTCAAGCCTTGATCGAAACAGAATTGATTTAACAGTCGGAGATTTTTGCCCTGAGATATGAGCTCTCAGCCGAGAGGAAAAAAATTTTTTTTTTTTTTTTATTTTTGGATAAACCTGCCAGAACCTGGGAAACTTTTCAATTCAGATAAGATCTATTATATATATATATATATATTTATATATATATATATATATAATTTTTGTGTCTGTTTTGAGAACGACAGAGTTTTAGACCTAGTAATTTATATATAGAGTGATTGGGAATACGAATAAATAGATATAGCGATTGATTTAATTCTTCTGGTTTATCAATCTTTTGCAGATTATTTAAAGCCAGAAAATATTTAGAGATGGTAAGAATTTTAGAGCGGTAAGAATGAGTTACTAATCTAAGTCGGGCTAATTACATTCAGAGTGGTCGATAAGTGGAGTTGAATTTCGAACTTGCCCAAGGGTAGAAAAAACAGAAAGTGAATATAAATAGGACTGAAATTGAACTCGGCATCTCCGATCTCCAATTCCGAGCAATTAGCCATCACACCTCCGGCACATCCTATCTTACAGCCCCTGGTATTCCCAAGAGGTCACCTATCTAATTACTGACCAGGCTCAGTATTGTTTAAATTTGATGTTAGTACAAGAACCCTTTCTTTCAACGTGATATGGCCATAAGAGAGAGGTTGAGAAAGAGAAAAGTAGAGAGGGAGAGAGAGAGGTTGAGAAAGAGAGAAGTAAAAAGAGAGAGAGGTTGAGAAAGAGAGCAGAGAGGGAGAGAGAGGTTGAGAAAGAGAGAAGTAAAAAGAGAGAGAGAGGTTGAGAAAGAGATCAGAGAGGGAGAGAGAGAGGTTGAGAAAGAGAGAAGTAGAGAGAGAGAGAGTGAGCTTGAGAAAGAGAGTAGAGAGGGAGAGAGAGAGGTTGAGAAAGACAGAAGTAGAGAGGGGAGAGAGAGTTTGAGAAAGAATGAAGTAAAGAGGGAGAGAGTGAAGTTGAGAAAGAGAGTAGAGAGGGAGAGAGAGGTTGAAAAAGAGAGAAGTAAAGAGGGAGAGAGTGAGGTTGAGAAAGAGAGTAGAGAGGGAGAGAGAGGTTGAAAAAGAGAGAAGTAAAGAGGGAGAGAGAGAGAGCTTGAGAAAGAGAGAAGTAAAGAGGGAGAGAGAGAGTTTAAGAAAGAGAGAAGTATAGAGGGAGAGAGAGAGAGGTAGAGACAGAGAAATTTAGGAATACCAAAAAGAATGAAAATTAATTGACTAAAGATGGAATGAATCGTCTGTTAGTAAATTGTGTGCGAATGAAGATAAACAAGCAGACTATCTTGGGAACGCGGTAATTCACTCAATAAAGGGTAGCTTGGGAACGGGGTAATACGCTGAATAAAGGGGTAAAAGCAAGGCGCACATCTGCTGCACTCATTGACTTGAAGTGGTGGCGGTGGGAGGGGGGGGTTCTATTTATCAAAAAAGCAGAGGTTCAAAAAGCAAAATGGGATAAAAATCCAGAACAAAACAAAATAACGATACTATATTGTACTAAACCGAAATGGTTGAAATAGAAAGTATTACTGAAAAGATGAACTGTGGGAAAGGCTTGACAGTAAACAGAGTCAGCTGGGTAGATAGAGACAAAAATAAGCAGAGATGAAAGTAAGTTTAGCGTAGTTAAGCATCACAACACACAACAGAACTTAAAAGCTGAGTAGGGAGGTTAAAAGTCCCGCTTTCTTTTTCTTAGAAAAGTTTACTCAATACAAAGTTCAGGATAAACTCAAAGAGGAGAGGGGCTTATTGAATGAAATTATGTATAAGGGGGGGATGCGATTGACTCTAAACTTGAAAAGGTTAAGATTATAGTGTTCTGGGAAGCATTCACGCGGGAGTCAGTAATACAATGTAACAGTTCTTGGGAATAAGCTGTCTGAGTGGAATGTTGTTCCTGTCGGTGGAGCACGAAAGAAATGAGTCTGCTTCAACGCTTGTTAACGACTGATTTCATAAATGAGCAAATTATACCACGAAAAATATATATATATATATATATATATATATATATATATATATATATATATATAGATAGATAGATAGCAAGATATATAGATAATTGTATATTTAGGCAACAATCCTTCGTTTATGCATGTTTCTTAAAAAACGATAGACAAGGTAGTACGGTTAATCTTTTATTTATTTTTTTTCTTGTGTTCGAACAAGAGCTTTTTTTCTGGACAAAGGGTGTGTAAGAACTGTCCAAATGTTTTATATTTCCGAGCGCTTTCGGAAATATACCTTTAGCCATTATCAAGGATAAAAAAGGATAAAAATAATGGAAGCTTTAATAATAAAAAAGAAAAAAAACAACTCTTAACAATATTATCTACGAACAAGGTCACAATGTGCTAACCGTATGCGGAAATTAAAAACATCCCTACCACACACTACGACATACACAGAACGCACACACTCAATTAAGCTGAAAAATCGAATCATATAATAGCCTTGGATGGCAACTGGACTAGGAGAAGGACAACTCTAAATTCAAAACCTGCGGAGGGTCGTAGGGGGACCTTGTGGCACGTAGTGCACCAGGTCTCTGTATTCAGCCCTTCAAAAAGTGTGGATGGTCCTGCACGAAACCTTCACCACTATAATCAAATCTCATGTGCCGGTGTCGGGCTGTCGGTTTCCTGGTAACTGATCTGCTTGACCCTCATACATCGAATTCGACGGGAGAGTCGAGTATATATATACTATTAAACCAAAAACTTTGCTGGAACCCCCCAAAAAACCAAGTTGGCAAAAGACCTAACACCCTGCTCAAGGAAAAATCTCGAAGAAAGGAAGAATTCAAAAACCTATAGGCAAACACTCATTTATTCAGTAAAGTGCACAACACCTAGATTACCAAGACAGAAGAAAAACAGTTTCACAACGGTGACACCTATAAATAAAAAAACAGCCTGATTTCCATGCACACGCGATCTTCAGACAACTTGAACGCAAATGAAAGTAGTCGACATATATATATATATATATATATATATATATATATATATATATATGAAAAGTTTGTATAAATATAAATATAAATATATATATATGTAATATATATATATATATATATATATATATATGAAAAAGTGTATATATATATAAATATATATATATATGTGTAATATATTATATATATTATATTTATATATTATATATATATTATTTTTTATTAGAAAGCGCTCACTATCAAAGATAAATCTAACATATTTGGTTGGATGAATGTGAGTTTGTGACCCTTGTCTGACGATCGCAAAAGCGTGAAACCCTGAGTCACAAACTTATATCAATCCAACCAAATATATATATATATATATATATATATATATATATATATATATATATCTTTTTATGCCTGAATTTTTGACCGATATACACCACTGAGCATTTTTGTTGAATCTATTTTATACACTTCTCCCTCTGTCCTATATATTGTACTCTTTTAGATTGTTGTGTTCCTGAATTTTACGTTATGGTTACATACGATATTTTCTTCTTGATGTTGTCTGTTATGAAGTTGGTAAGTAGAATTGTTTGTCTATATTCGCTATGGTTGTCGGGATTATTATTATTATCTGTTTATCTTTGTATTTTTACAAAAATAATTTTATAGGCTTTTCATTTGTCATTGTACAGGAAATAATTAGGGTATTTGGAGGAGTTTGAAAGTGTTTTCAAACTATTTCTATTCCTTTAGGGAACTACAGATTCTAAGGGGTCATAATTAGAACCTATGTTGACTCAGGATTTTATTTCATTGTTCTCATTGAAGTAGAAGTGCCTGAGATGGTTAATATTTGTGGATTTTCGATACACCTTAAGTTTTATATTCTTATCTGTTCGTGTTAAAAACGTTGGAAAGTAAGAGAAACAAACAATATGTTGCATGTCTAATCATGTATTCTGTTGTGTACAAAGTTCGGATTAAACGTATTTCATGTCAGTCTTACTGTTTGACAACATTAAATAATGTCATCAGTCCTAAGTTCTCTGCTCGAATTATATACAAAGGAGCGACTAGTGATAGAAGTTTGGGCGCCAGTTGAAATTCACACAATAAGAATATATTGAAAGCTTTCGAGTACTCAGTCCTCGTTCCAACCACGTAAGGTCGCATTGCAGTCAATAAACAGCGCAAACGGTGAGAAGGCAGAAATTTCCAACTGTTGTATACCATTCGTCGATCTCTGATTCAGCACCAAATGTCTTCTAGTTTTTCTTGTTTCGTCAGATCAAGTCTTTCATATGGATGTCATGCATGGCAACCAGAAATATATAGACTGTCAGCTTTATACCACCGCTGTCTTAATGATTAAAAATGTCTTCTAGCGAATGAATCCTGTAGGGCTTAGAGAGGACCAGCCTTCTTTTCAACTCATGGGCTAGTTCTACTAAATCACAAAGATCTGCACCAAATAATATATACTACATGACTTAATGATCTTCAACAGCAGCAACAAATACAATGAATAACAAATGCAACTCGAAAAGAACATGACATAATCAAGATCTTTAGCATTCTACACTACTTCGAACAAAAGGTTAGGAAAGAAACCCCCATAAGTAGTAAAAAGAGCGATAACAGTTAGTGGCCTTGAGAAACCTATTTTCTTGTTATATTGTTCTAACAGAAAGCTATAAATTTAAACCGATGGTAGCATTGGCTGCTCGCTTAATGTACACCGAAAGTTTCCTTATAAGGAAACGGTTAATATTACCGTTGCAATGGTCAGAAATTAAAACAGACTTAAAAAGGTCAACATTTTTCGTTTGATGCCAATGAGGAACGTACTGCGCGCAATCGGATAAAAAATTTCTTTATAAATGGAATAAAAGTGTGTATGGAATGTTTATAAAAATATATACCCGGAGAGCCGAGTTCGGATTCCAGCCAATTCCATTACATTCATTTACATGCTAATAATCTTAGAAAAGGTATGAATCCTCTTCTTCTCCCTCCAGCTATGGGTAAATAGCAGGATAGACTGGGTTCTATAGCCTTGGATAGGAACCGGTCTACCGTAGAAAGAAATGGCAACTTAATGCAGGCAAAAAACTTCTGCCTCGTCAGTCATATATCAAAAGATACATGATCATCTAAGCATGTATCACGCATGGCACATAACTGACTGATACCTCTGAATATCAAAAAATAAAATTTTGTAGAGGAATAATTTATCTAAATTTGATATATGTTTCCTTATTCTCTGTGATCTAAAACTTGTTTTACAAGATTTTATACCTTACTTATCTTACTTAACTCTTGTATATATAAATGCTCAATCATGCGTATGTGGGAAAACATGTTTGTGATAGAAAGATATTGTGTGCGGCAGGTAAGTATGTGTTCTTTCCAACCTGGTTGAAAAGTGTGAAAATACGTACTTATTTTCGGAAACCTGATATAGCTCACAATAGTTCTCTACCTTGTTTCGCCACTAACCCCATCCAATTCACCTGTGTTGTGAGTTCGATCTTCACGGAAACCCAACCGATGCGACATTGTGCCAGACGAAGTAATGCTAACCGTACACGAAATAAAATGTCTAATATAAGATATAATAATCGGCAAACTACGAACCATATTTTAACGCGCTTCCATTTCCTTTTGATGATTCCGATTGATGTCGACTTTCAAAGAGTCAGATTTTTTTTTAATCCTCTTAACATGGATTCATCTCTTGAAAAGGTTGGAGGGGAGATTGGCTTATTCCAACATTCGTTCTCACTCCCTCCTCCCGTTTTTCTCTCTCTCTCTCTCCCCCTCTCTCTTTCTCATTCTTTCTCACACTTTCTCCCTAGCATTGTACATTACATGGAAGTCTCACATGTCACATCTATCTTTCTCGATGTCTTATTTCTCTAATGTTCCATCAGCTATAAGCTTCATCTATCTTACTCTTTCTCCCTCTCTCTGTTTATCTATCTATCTATCTATCTATCTATCTATCTATCTATCTATCTATCTATCTATCTATCTATCTATCCCATTCAGTTCATATCTATCTATCTATCTATCTATCTATCTATCTATCTATCTATCTATCTATCTATCTATCCCATTCAGTTCATATCTATTTATCTATCTATATCTATCTATATATCTATATATCTATCTATCTATCTATCTGCATGTTTAATTAAAACGACAGACAAGGTACTACGGTTAACATTTTTTATTTAATTTTTCTTGTGTTCGAACAAGTTTTTTTTTCTGGACAAAGAGTGTGTAAAAACTGTCCAAATGATTTATATAGTCTGTCCTGTTATTTTACCCACAATTTAGGAAGAGGATTCACACCTTTCCCAAGGTTATTAGTACGTAATTGAATGTAATGGATTTGGAGAGCCGTTAAGAAAAACAGCATATAT